ATCCAGCGGGACGTGCAGCTGCTGACCAGGAACCTGAGTCAGCCGACGGAGTTTGACGGGAAGCGACTGGTGAAGTTGGAGAGGTACCTGAAAGGGACAAAGACGTTTGGAGTGCTGATGGAAAAGCCAACTGGGAGCAAGCCTGGAGAGGTGAAGCTGCAGTTGTTCACAGACACGGATCTCGCGACGTGCAAGGAGACGAGGCGCGCGATGACCTGTGGGATCACACAGCTGGACGGAGTGCATTGTGCAGCGTCCGCAAGGAGGCAAGGAGTTCAGAGCACATCCTCAGGTGAGGCGGAGTTCTACGGCGCGACCTCAGTGGTGATGGGCGGCAAGCTTGTGAAGAACATGCTAGAGTGGTTGGGCTACAAGGTGACCTGGGAGCTCGGGGTCGACAGCAGCGCCGCGAAGGCGATGATCAACCGCGAGGGCGTCGGAAAGGGGAAGCACCTGGACGTTCGGGCGCCGTGGATCCAGCAGGAGCGAAAGGTCCACGGACTGATCATCAAGAAGGAGAGTGGAACAAAGAAAGTGGCCGACCTAGGGACCAAGGCGCACACCACGGAGCGGTTCGAGTACCTGCGAGAACTTGCTGGCATCGTGGACTGCAACGAGATGGACAAGCATAAGGAGCTGGAGGCGTGCTCGGAGACAACGAGCGCCTGGGCTAAGCAAGGTTTGTTGGCGACACTGCTCGCGCAAGGAGTGACGGGCGGTGCGACCAAGGCGAGTGAATGTGCAGTGCGAGATCTCGACCAGAGTGCAGTTACCCTCTGGGAGGCTACAAAGCTGCGGGACTGGATCGACGACCACACGACGCTGATCATCCTGATCGTGATGACGACAACGTTCGTGGCAGGAGCATTGTTCGGGTGTTTGATTTGCAAGTGGTGGACGAAGATGGACGGCACCACGGAGCAAAACCTGGTAAAACATACGAATACCCCGAATCGGAGAAAGGAGCTGAGCAACAAGGTAAAGTTCACGGACAGGCCGACGACGGAGGAGAAGGCGAGTCAATCGCCATGCACGTACACGTGGAAGCACACGACGCCGAGGTTCATGGTGCTGCCCGAGGCGAGCCACGGGTGAGAACGAGCTTGCGGCCAATGGCAAGGAGAGCGAGGTGACGTGCCTCGACGAGGCGCCGTGGGGGCGTGCAGGCGTCAGTGAGTGTACGGCCCCTCCCGAGGCGGCCAGATAGTAGGCCAGAGCCCAAGGAGGCCCTGGCGTGAGCGTTAGGCCCCCTAGAGGCCCTAGTGCATGGCTTGGGCCCTAAGAGGCCCCCTGTGCAAGGCCCGTGCAGGCCTGGGCAGAGTGGAGCGGGGTGTCCCCGCCGAAGCTGTTATGGCTCGAAGATGATCTATCGAGTGAGATCGTCATCTCTGCAACTTCTCATCATTATCATCATCATCTTCATCTTCATCATCACCATTATCATCATCATCATCATCTTCACATCATCATCATCACCATCATCATCATCATCATCATCTTCATCATCATCACCAGCATCATCATCATCATCGTCAGCATCATCAACACCATCATGATCATCATCATCATCATCATCATCATCCTCATCATCATCATCATCACCGCCGTCATCATCACCGTCGTCATGGTCGGCGCCGTCATCACCAGCATCGCCACAACACGCCTCACACGTTGCGTGGCCTCAGAGGGCGCTGCTGCTGCTGCTGCTGCTGCTCCCGTGGCCGTCTCGGCGGCCAAGTTGGAGTGGCTCCGCCGTCGCCGTCAGCTCCTCGCGCAACGACTGCGTGACGCCGCTGGTGCGGCTGCGGGCGCTGGGCAGGTAGGTGCGGTTCGCGCTGCACTTCAGCTGGTTGTTGTTACTGGAGGCGGTGCTGGGCCTCTCGTCGGTGCGCCCGCTGTGCCGCCGTCCGAGGCGAGCGTCGATGATGAGTGGGCTGGCGGAGCGCGTCCCGCGCAGCTGGTCGATCGGGAGGCCATGGCGGTGGACAAGTTGGAGCAGGCGGTTGCGCCGTCTGCGGAGGTGTCGCCCGCCCTGGTGCCCGCTGCTGCTGCTGCTGCTGCGGCCTCTGCTGTTTTTTTTGCTGCGGCCGCTGCTCCGACGCCCGCGGTGGTTGGCAAGGGCGCGGCGGTCGACGCGGAACTTCTGACCATCTCGTCGATCCCGACCGCGGACGCGAAACTGTTCGGCACCCTCAGCTCGGACGAGAAGCACCTGCCCGTGCTAATCGGCATGATCGAGGGGCGCCGTGCTCTGGTTTCGCGGCCGGTTTTTCTCCGCCGTCTTGGCCGTGCGGCGTGTTGCTCATCATCGCGATGCTGGAGGGCGGCAGGTTCCAGTGGCCCGTCGCCGGCGCGCCTAACTTGTCGTCTTCGACGGCTACTGGTAGGCCCACCACTCATGGGGTTTCGCCCTCCGCACTGCCCCCTCTTGGGGGGCGTCGGATCCGTATGTGTCTAGAGTTGCCTATGTGCCGCAGTTGTCCCTCTATGGCCCCGCCCCCCGCCTCCCCTCCTCTATCGCCACCAGCAACACCAGCATCACCATCATCATTTCCATCACCATCGTAACCATCATCACCACCATTCGCATCATCAGCATTATAATTATCAGCATTACCATCATCAACATCATCATCATCATCATCATCATCATCATTATCATTATCATTATCATTATCATTATCATCATCATCATCATCATCATCATCATCATCATCATCATCATCATATTCATATTCATCTTCATCTTCATCTTCATCATCATCATCACATCATCATCATCACCATCATCATCATCATCATCACCAGCATCATCATCACCGTCATCATCATCAACATCATCATCATCATCATCATCATCACCGCCGTCATCATCACCGTCATCATGGTCGGCGCCGTCATCACCAGCATCGCCACAACACGCCTCACACGTTGCGTGGCCTCAGAGGGCGTTCCACCCAAGGCCCAAGTGACCGTCCACATGCGTCCGCGCCACCAATTTCGGCGCACCGCTCACACGCTGCGTGACCCCATAGGCAATTCCCCCGAAGGCCCGGATGGCGCGTATGTGTCCGCACCATCCATGGCGGCGCACCTTTCACGCGCTTCGGGGCCCCTTGTGTAGCGCCACCCACGGCACCACGGTCATTGTCCACATGCGTCCGCGCCACCCAGCTCGGCGCACCCCTCACACGAGGATCGTGGCCCCATAGGGAGCTCCACCGAAGGCCCGAATGGCACCGTCCACGTGTGTCCGCACCACCTATGTCGGCGCACCGCTCACACGCTTCGTGGCCCCATAGGGAGCTCCACCTGAGGCTCGAATGGTTTCTTCCACGTGCATTCACGCCACCAAATTCGACATGGCCTCACCGGGAGGCCCACCCGAGTGCCCAGTGGCGCCCCAGCATGTGCTCGCGCCGCTCATGTCGGCGTAACCCCCACGCGCTTCGTGGCCCCATCGGGAGTTCCACCCAAGGCCCCAGTTGCGCCGCCCTCACGCGCTCCCCCACCCCCAACTCATTCCGGCGCACCGCTCACACGGCTCGTGGCGTTAATCGGGAGCTCCACCGAAGACGATAATCACACATGCGTTACTTACAATTGTATATGGTTGGGTTTTTCGTTTGGCTTGTTGTTTTGAAGGTGGAAGGGAATATGGAGGAGGAAGAGGAGGAAGAGGAGGAGGAAGAGGAAGCGGGAAGTGCAGCAAGGGCAGGGACACGAGAGGGTCAACCCTTCTTTCGCACGCAGGAACACGCCAGGTGGGCATTCTGCCTGCCCGTGTCACCATCTTGGGGATCCACTTGGGGACGTCTTGGAGCCCACCTTGGGGTTGTCTTTGGGCCAAATTGGGGCAGTTTGGGGCCATCTGAGGCCGCATGAAGGCCATCCGGGGCCATCTTAGGGCTATTTGCCGTCGGGCAGCCAGGGCCGCCGGACCGTTCACCAGGATCTCTCCCTCTCCAGACTGGTCAAATGGGTTTCCGGGGCGAGGGATTCGGGGGAGGTGTATATTTCGACCTTTTTCCAGCACATGTTTTCCCGACCCTCCTGCGCTCGGTTATTGTATTTACGAGAGCGCAATGTGGTCTCCACTTCCTTTCTCTCTTCCCCCCTCCTCCTGCGCTGTTGGAGGCTGCGAACTTTGCAACTGTCGCAACTTTCGTTGTATTTTGGGAGGTCTAGCAGAGTGGAGGGCCACGCAGATTCATTGGGGACCTCGCTGCTCCTTGGGTGGCTGCGAACTGCGCACTTGTCGTCACTTTCGTGGGCTCCTGCGAGGCCCACAAGAGTCGGGGACCACGCAGATCCAGCCGATACCTCGGGGCTCACTGGGGAGGCTTCGAACTGCGCACCCGTCTTCAATTTCGTGGGCTCCTGTCAGGTCAGCGGAGTGGAGGGCCACGCAGACAAAACCGATACCTCGCGGCTCCTTGGGAAGCTGCGAAGCGGGCAACCGTCGCCATGTTCGTGGGTTCCTGGGAGGCACGGCGGATGTGATGGCAGCGCAGATCCATTTGAGACCCCGCGGCTCGCTCGGGCGCTGCGAAGTGCGCAGCTGTCCTCACGTTCGTGGGCTCCTGGGAGACACGGCGGAGATGAGGGCAGCGCAGATACTGTACGTTTGTGTTCTTGTGTATGGAGCGTTCATACAAGATAGTCGCCTCGCGTGGAGGAGGGGTTGGGTACGTCTCGGGTACTCTCCTGGTGCGCCTGCCCGAGCCTGCGCCAGGAGCGCAGTCCCGCACCATGGCGGCGGCGTGCCGTGCCTCCGCCTTGGGGCAGCGCCGCGAGGGGAGGAGGAGGAGGGGGAGGAGGAGGAGGAGGAGGAGGAGGAGGAGGAGGAGGAGGAAGAGGAGGAGGGAAGGAGGAGGATCAGAAGGACGCACGCCTGAGGACCTCCGAGGGTGTCGACTCGCATGACTGCGTTCGGCCGCTGCTGCCAACAGAGAACAACAACAGGTGGAGTGGCGATGCTGTGGGCACCATCATACACCCTATGCTCCGTCAACCTTGGCCATGTGCCTGATCAGGTCAACGACACGGCACGAGTAGCCCCACCAGTTGTCGTACATGTCGCGGACATGACGAGCTTGCAGTCCCGCATGATGACAGCCTTGGAATCGATCGTGCTGGAGATGGGACGCGTCTTGAAGTCGGTAGACACGAGAGACTCGTCGCAGTAGCCCAGGAATCTCTTCATGTCGCCCTCGGAGAGCCGCTTGGTCTTGGCGCAGATGTCCTCGTAGTTCGTCGCCTTCTCTAGCTCACAGGTAATGTCCACGACCGATACGTCGATGGTGGGCACGCGGAAGGCCATGTCGGTGAGCTTGCCCGCCAGTTTGGGCACGACCTTGGCCTTCGCCTTGACCGCCCCGGACGAGGAGGGACAAATATTGCCAGGCTTTGTGCGGCAACCGCACCAGTCTTTCTTCGACGCCCCGTCCACGGTTGGCTGGTACGCGGTCATGGCGTGTATGGTGGTTATCAGGCCTCGCTCGATTCCGAACGCGTCGTTGATCGCTTTCACCATGGGAGCTAGGCCGTTGGTGGTGCACGAAACGCACGAGACGCAGTTACTGTCACTCTTGTAGGTATCTTTGTTCACGCCATCATTACGGTGTGGCTATCGTCTTTGCCTGGGGCCGAGAACACGGCCTTCTTCGCGCCCGCCTTGAGGTGCGGCTGGATTTTCCCATCGGTCAGGAACACACCAGTGGGCTCGCAGACGTGATCCGCACCCTGCTCATTGAAGGGGATCTCTACCAGATCACGGGTGTGCGACAGCGCCACCTTCAGGATTGATCACCAAGGAGCCCCCGTCGACCTCGACAGTGCCAGCGTAGCTCGCGTTGGCCAGCTTAAGCTCCGTCTCTGGGTCCTTCATGACGATGCGGGGGGCCATTGGTGCCCGATGCGATCAGGGCCATTCATGCTGACCCCGACTGCCTCCCTGGCCACCTTCGCGGATCGGCGACGGCTCGCGGCCAAACCCACGACGCTGGCCGCAATGAAGGAGCACGTGGACGTGGTGTTGAAGCTTGAGCTCGCGCCGCTCTGGACGCGGGGCTTAGAGGCACGCAGAGCTGGCGAAGGGCCCGGGGCCGCCGCGGCGGGGAGCCGCACAGCGCCATGACGTCAGCGACCAAGGGACTCCGAAGAGGTTACCAAACCGTGAGGACTGGCCACAAAATGACGGGAGGAGGAGGAGGAGGAGGAGGAGGAGGACAAGGAGGAGTGCACAGGATCCACCTGATGTCACGTGCTGGTGCTTCTTTTTGTTGTCTCTCGCGCGCCGCGGGAGAGCGAGCGCAGTCCAAACGGGCTGAGGGGACAAGAGGAGGAGGAGGAGGAGGAGGAGGAGGAGGAGGAGGAGGAGGAGGAGGACTCAGGGGCAACGATGAGGGGGGAGGGGAACGTTTTGGGCCTTCGATGCTCAGGGTTTTCTGGCGTTTTTGTGGATTCTTGGCGGTCTGCAAGCCTCGGGGTGCCTTCAAACGGCCGCGCCTCGCCGCGGCTTTCAGGGTGTTTCCCGATCGTCCGGGCCCGCTGCCAGAGACCCGAGTTGTGACCCAGAAGCCAGACGATGACGAGGATCATGGGAGGGGGGGGATAGACTCAGGGGTAAACACACCGACCCCTCAAATGCCCATTCATCGCTATTGCCGGAGACGGACGACGACGAGGAAGGAAGGGCAGGGCGGGGAGCAGGACGAGGAGGGGGGTCGGAGATGAGTTGCCATGAAGCAAGCGGGTCCTGAGGATTCCCGCCCAGAACCCGTCCCCGGGGAAGGTCTTTGGAGCCAGGATCTCTTCTCATTCCAAATGAGCAGGGACGAGGAGGGAGGTTGGAGGATCGTGAGCGGGAAGCAGGTCCATATCCACGGCCTCGCGGTCCCGACTTCTCAGCTGTGGCCCCGTGGACACAAGGGATGCCTCACGCGATACGTATCCCTGGGGTCGCGTATCAATTGGATCGCGCTTCGGTCAAGGCCGCTAAGGCATGGATATGGATCATGTGTTAGTTGCTCGTGAGAGGAGGGGCGAGAAGGTTTGAGGGAGGATTTGCAGGAGGTGGAGGAGAGGATTGAGGAGGAGATAGAGGACTTGGAACAGTTGGAAGAGTTGAAGTTTGGATGAGCATGAGAAGATGATCAAGGAGTACCGAGGAGGCTGGTGCAGGAAGGGGGATTCGGAGAAGCAGGATAGAGGCTTGAGGAGCGAGGATGGCCTCTTGCAGATCAACCGGCCTGTAGCCCAGGTATGAACTGCCTGGCCACGGTCGATTCATGCGGACACATCACGCACGTATCCGTGTATAATGTATACAAAACTACGCATGCATAAATATGTATCGAACACGCCTACGGCGAATCAGCGCCGCCCCCAGCCCTTTCGGAAGCGCCTATGTGGCCGAACGTTGTGGCCAGAGGCCTGCCAAGCTATCGGACCATGTGTTCCCCGAATCGATTTGGAAAGCTTTCGGGGAACATGTGGGGGAGAATGAACATGAAAAGGAAGAGGAAGAGGCCTCTTGGCCAGTCTTGAGCCGTCGGAATGGCGAGAAGAAACAAATGCCAACATCCTTGAAACACTTAGGGACGCTGAATGATTTTGGTCTCTTCGGGCCCTCCTGGAGGACCTCTTGGAGGCCCCTTGGGCCGTCTTGGAGGCCTCCTGGGGGCCTTTTTGGCCGTCTTGGACAATATTGACGCCAGGTTAGGCCGTCTTGGAGGCATCTTGGGCCGTCTTGGGGGCATCTTGGGGGGCGAAGCTATCGGACCATGTGTTCCCCGAGTCGGTTTGGAAAGCCTTCGGGGAACACGTGGGGGAGGAAGAGGAAGAGGAGAAGAAGGAGGAACTAGGAGAAGGGGGAGGATGCCTCTTCGGAGCCTCGTGAGGCACTCTTGGGCTCGATTGGGCCATCTTTGGACCGTCTTGGGGGCCATGTTAGTGCTATCTTGTGCTCTCTTGGAGCCTCTTGAGGGCCTCTTGGGGCCTTTTTGGGACTTCTCGGGGCCCTCTTTGGCCGTCTTTGGGCGTTCCTGGCTCGTCTGACGCCGTCGGGAGCCGTCTTGGGGACCTCTCTGAACCGGCTTGGGGTCCTCTTGGGGCGCGTCGGGGCCGTCTTGGAGGTTGGGCGTCTTAGAGGCCTCTTGGTCCGTCTTGGGGCCCTCTTGGGGCCGTCTTGGGGGCCTCTTGGACCGTCATGGGGCCATCTTGGGGGGCTCGTGGGCGATCTTAGGGCGATCTTGGGGGCCTCTTGGGCCGTCTGGAGCCGTCGGAAGGCCGAAAAGAAGCAAATGCCAAAATATTTCAAACCCTAATGAAAATCAATGATTTTGGCCTCTTCGGGTCCTCGTTGAGGACCTCTTCGAGGCCTCTTGGGCCGTCTTGGAGGCTTCTTGGGCGAACTTGGAGGTATATTGGACGCTCTTGGGCAGTCTTGGAGACCGTCTTGGATCATATTGGGCGAACTTGGAGGCCATCTTGGACCATCTTGGAGGCCATCTTGGGCCAACGTGGCCATCTTGGAGGCCATCTTGAGCCGTCTTGGAGGACAAACCGGGGATTGAGCTCCCTTCTCGGACCCCGGCGGGACGGGCCGAAGCCGCAGGGGAAGTTCTTTGGGAAAGAGAGCCAAAACCAAAACCGAAAGGATCTAGCACGCCAGGCACCCATGTGATGAATCAACAGGGGGCGGCGGATCGAAGACGCCTATGGCGAATCACCGCCGCCCCCTGTCTTTTTGGAAGCGCCTATGTGACCGAACGTTGAGGCCAGGCCTGCCAAGCTATCGGACCATGTGTTCCCCGAATCGGTTTGGAAAGCCTTCGGGAAACACGTGGGCATCTTGAAGGTCATCTTGGCCGCCTGGAGGCCAATTTGACCCTTTCGGGCCTTCTTGGAGGACGTCTTGGAGGGCTCTTGGGCCGTCTTGAAGGCCATCTTGAGCGTTTTGGAGGCCTCTTGGGCAGTCTTGGGGGCCTCTTGGGGTCGTCTTGGGCCTCTTGGGCGATCTTTGGGGGCACTTGGGCCGTTTCGGGCCGTCGGAAGGCAGAAAAAAAGCAAATGCCACAATCCTTCAAAAACTCATGGGAAATCAATGATTTTGGCCTTTTCGGGCCCACCAAGGCGGCCGAAGATGGCACTAAGGTGGCCCAAGACGGCCCAAGAGGCCTCCAAGAGGGCTTCCAGGACGGCTCCTGGGCCGTCCGACGCCGTCGGAAGCCGTTTTGGGGGGCCTCTCTGAGCCGACTTGGGGCCCTCGTGGAACGCTCCAGGGCCATCTTGGGGGCCATCTTGGGCGTCTGAAACGTCTCCTGGGCCGTCTTGGGGACCTCTTGGGGACGTCTTGGGGGCCTCTTGGGCCTTCCCGGAAGCCCTCTTGGAGGTCTCTTGGGCGATCTTTGGGGGCACTTGGGCCGTATCGGGCCGTCGGAAGGCCGAAACGAAGCAATTGGCAACATTCTTCAAACACCTGCGGACAATCAGTGCGTTTGGCATGTTGTGGCCTTCTTGGAAGCCCTCTTGGAGGCCTCTTGGGCCGTCTTGGGCCAGCTTCGAGCCAACTTCGGCTATCTTGGTGGGCTCCTGGCCCGTCGGAAGCCGTTTGGGGGGCCTTTCTGGACAGATTTGGTGTTCTTTTGAGGTGTTCCAGGGCCGTCTTAGAGGCCATCTTGGGCGAATTGGAGGCCTCTTGGGTCGTCTTTGTGCCCTCTTGGGGCCGTCTTGGGAGCCTCTTGGGCAGTCCTGAGGCAATCTTGCAGGCCCACTGGGCGATCTTGGGGGCTCCTTGGGTCGTCTTGGGTCGTCGGAAAGCAGAGAAGAAACGAATGCCAAACTCCTTCAAAAACCTAGGGGCAATCAATGATTTTGGCTTCTTCGGGCCCTCCTGGAGGACCTCTTGGAGGCCTTTGGGGCCGTATTGGAGGCCTCTGGAGGGCCTCTTGGGCCGTCTTGTGCCGTCTTGGACTCTCTTGGGCCGTCTTGGAGGCCGTCTTGGGCCATCTTGGACCATCTTGGAGGCCATCTTGGGCCAACATGGCCACCCTGGAGGCCATCTTGAGCCGTCTTGGAGAATGGTTTCCGGACGTTGAGGTCGTTTGCGGTCCTGGAAGAGCCTCTCGGCACCCCGGCGGGACGGGCCACAGCCCTAGCGGGAGTTCTGTTGGACAAAAATCCAAAACCAACACCGACATAATCTAGCACGCCAGGCACCCCTGCGATGAATCGACAGGGGGCGGCGGATCGAAGACGCTTCCAGCGAATCACCGCCGCCCCCTGCCTTTTTGGAAGCGCCTGGTGTGGCCGAGCGTTGAGGCCAGGCCTGCCAAGCTATCGGACCATGTGTTCCCCGAATCGGTTTGGAAAGCCTTCGGGAAACACGTGGGCATCTTGAAGGTCATCTTGGCCGCCTGGAGGCCAATTTGACCCTTTCGGGCCTTCTTGGAGGACGTCTTGGAGGGCTCTTGGGCCGTCTTGGAGGCCATCGTGAGCGTGTTGGAGGCCTCTTGGGCCGTCTTCGGGGCCTCTTGGGGCCGTCTTGGGCGATCTTTGGGGGCACTTGGGCCGTCTCGGGCCGTCGGAAGGCCGAAAAAACGCAAATGCCACAATCCTTCAAAAACTCATGGGAAATCAATGATTTTGGCCTTTTCGGGCCTTCCTGGGGGCCCTCTGGGAGGCCTCTTGGGCTGTCTTGGGCCATTTTAAGGCCGTCTTGGTGGCCTCCTGGTACGTCTGACGCCGTCGGGAGCCGTCTTGGCGGCCTCTCTGGGCCGACTTGGGGCCCT